TAGTTCATCCCACCAGCCTACTATGAATTCATTAAGCAATAATCACCACACCTATACAAACTTATCCTGTTTATTTAGCTTCATGTCCCATGTTCGCCGTCCATCATGTTGTGAAAGTATTATCCTTCTGCTGTCATTACTCACTCATGTTATCCCACTCATGTATGCAATTGTTGTTACTGTTAATCCTCAACCACTCTGCATAGTCTGTAGAATGTTCCTCATTCAGTCTTGCTTGACAACGGTATAAGGATCTATACCGGAACCTCGTCTTTACAGTATTAAAGAGGTTGTTATCCATAAATTGTGTCTACTTTGTAAGACAGAAGTGAACTGCTATTAGCTTGAGTCTGAATGACATAACACTTTTTGACAAACACAAACGCAAAATATAAACAACTTCCTTGTTTAAATAAATTTTTCCAGATTTATTCCTTTTTTATCTGCATTTACTTCCTGCTACAAATCAGCGAGGAGGAAATATCCATGGAAACGAGAAAATATATTCTCGATCATCAACATTAATCTGTAACCACTAAAAAGATACAAATTCATTAATCTGATATGGTTTCTTTTGAATGTTACTACACCGATTTCACAAGCATGTACATATTTGTCATCGCCCAACGCTTAACGTTGTTTTAGATATTAACGCCGAATGTGTTCAATGTGTTTGAGAATTTTAATGATTCTTTTACAGGCGCTTCAGCCAATCGGCCATTCATGGCCAACTCCTGTCTTTCCGGGACAAGCCCAATCGCGACTCGTGCCCCTCTCGGGGTATTTGACTTTAATGTCGTATGAACGTCAGAAGGATTCCAAATCATCACACTGCCCCGCCAAACGGTACAGTCTCCTGTATACAACAAGGAGCCGTTCTTTATCCCACACGTCGGTAGATCCGTGTTCTGCCGACGGCTCTGAACAGCTGGAACCAACTCTCATCAGAAAAAAACCCACACTGCCTATTACAGCATTGCAGCGTTCAACTTGGCGTGCCCACCGCAAACGCCGAAGCCGGTGTTGCCTCGTCAGTGTCATTCCTCTGAGTGGTCGATGTACGCCCTGATATCACGCCCTCGAAGTCGACGACGTATGGTGTGACGTCTGATGAAACGCTCAAGCGCAATCAGCGCAGATGACGTCACAGTGGAGAGTCTGTCACGTAGGTGTAAGGTACGGAGGCAGCGGTCCCGATTAATAGTGCTGGTTCACTTACATACCATGAGTTGAACATGAATACTCCACTCCGATACTGACGACCAGTCCTTGTTTTAGCCTTTTAATGCCGAGCGCCAGGCAGGGAAACAACGAGTACCATCTTTAACGTCTTTTGGTATGACGCGACTGTGGATCGAACCCCGGACCTTCGGGCGGACGCTCTACCACTAGACCACGGAGGCGGTCCGTTGTTATGTTCAGAACGTGGTAGGTATATCTCTGTGATATATCTGTTTCAGATACATATATACTACTCAAAAGAAGTTAAAGAACACATGATTCTTTCAAAGCAATATATCATGTCACACATGCCATGACTGATTAACTATTTAGTAATATGTAAGAATCAGGCGTTCTTTCACTTTCTTTTAGTAGTATATATTGTACGGGCCTGTTTGTGTTTGGTCTGTGTTTGATAAGCGTTATAATTATAAGTATATAGGTATAACTGCTGTACTGCAGTTGTACTGCCGGATGTTTGTCTTTTTAATTGTCTGTTTAGTGTTGAGCAGGTTCCAACTCTTCAAACCTGATGGGCGGACGCGAGTTTATCGACGACGTGGTGAACGTAAGACCCCTTGTTGTGTCCAGGAGGTGGAACCTTACGGGGGCGGAAGTGTGATGGTCTTGGGCGGCATTTGCGGGGACGAGAAGACGGAACTTGTCATCATCGAAGGCAATCTGACAGCACAACGCTACATTGACAATATCTTACGGCCAGTGGTTCTTCCTTTCATCCAGCGTCAACAACGGACGGTGTTCCAACAAGATAACGCCACACCCCATAAAGCCCGTATTTCTTAGAGACTTCCTCAACGCCAACAACGTGATTGTCCTGCCGTGGCCAGCTCGATCACCAGATCTGTCACCAATAGAAAATCTCTGGGACCAGCTGGGGCGTCGTCTTCGGAAACGTCAACATCCTCCCTTCACGAGACAAGCGTTGATCGTTGCCCTCCGTGAGGAATGGAATCGGATACCTGCAGTCGATGTGAGGACGCTTGTCTACTCAGTTCGACGCCGCATTCGAATATGCATTGCCGCTCATGGAGGTCATATCCCGTATTGAACTGTCTGGGCCGTCGTCACTTTAAAGTTGTAACCAGTGTTGTTGATCGGATACTGGACGAATGACCCCTTGTCAAGAAATGTCCCTGTTGGAGGTCAAGGACTTTGTTGTTGAATTAGTAAATTCGCATTTTACTGTTCTGAATGATGAATTTCTACAATTTTAATAACATAACTGCTTTTAATTGTAAATACATTTAGAATGTTAGTTCCGAATAATTATCTTGTGTCTCATGAGTGAGTGAGTTGGGTTTAACGCCGCTTTTAACAGTATTTCTGAGTTAACTTCATTAAAGCATGGCTTGTGAAAAATATAATTCTCGAACTGTCTGTCGATATCAATGCTGTAGTAACATGTAGTGGTCATATAATTTGTCTTTGATATATGACGCTACAATATTTAACAGTTTGTAAAATTGATTCATGTATTACGTTAATTATTAACAAGAAATGATATCCGACAATTTAATATCTATTTAGTTAGTGTGATACATCAAAGCAACTATAGGTACACTTTAGCCCTTAACACTTGATGGCTTTGAAATATCTGGATGTCTAGGTACGTCTAGATAGTTATCATTCCATAGTCTGTCTCGGCCTCGATACATCCTCTTCTTGGGTGGCTTCAAACTATCTGGATTGTGATCGCAGTATTATGTTGCTCAACCTGCAGCATCTCAATGAATTTGAACTTATTTGGATGCCGCCCTCTGATTTTTGGCGTCGTCCCACTGCTCGGAGACATATAATTGTTCTTTGTGATAAAGTCATCTTTGTTGTTGAAGGTGGTTGGGCATCCTCTTTGCATGGGAACATTTCCAATGAATGGAAGTCAGTCTGGTGTTACTCGTGAGCTTGTACCCGGCAAAAACCAAGCGCCGATCCCTCTTAAAATTGACAATAAACTGTAAATCCACACATTTTCTTGTCTGTAATTCCTTTTATAGTCCAAATCGTACCAAATGATTAATATGTTCAATATGAGATGCGTCCCCTTATTCCCCTAGTGTCTTACCCACAACCACGCTCGGGTGAACTTGTACCTATAACAATATGTGCTGGACAAGTAGGAAGACAACTAATGATACACCAGGAAGACTCGGCGCCGGCCCGATCGTTGAAATTGCGCAGCGCGTCAAACGCCGGTAACACGTTTAAACCTCCTCTCAGAGATTCCCCGCACTGGCGGAATTTTTCGATTTGGGGAAGATTTTGCCTGATGTTTTATTATCGTCCGTTTTACGGTTTTCTCCTTTTTCAAATTTAATTTTGGTCAACCATTTGTGAGCAGGTATACGCTAAAGTATTGGATTCTGCAAATTGCTATGTTGACTTTACTTGCCCTTTATGTTTGGGAGGCCAAATAGATAGTCTGAGATTACACTCAATAGAAACACCCGTGCTGTCAATTGAGCTGTTAACTGAATGTAAACAAACGATTTGAATCGCTTACAGTATATGGCCCTATCTGTGTTAATAAATACAATTAATACAACACAATGTTTTTTCACTATTTGTTAAATAATCACATATTGCCATTATTGATTTAAGTACTCGGGATTACTGTTATCAAATTGTATCGGGATTATTTTAATCAAAATTCTATACTTACGCGCATTCTGATTGGTTTTTCGTTTTTTTTCGATAACATTGATCGATAGGGGACGGATTGGGGCGGGTGATGATGACTCGATCGATACGTGTTCAAGGAATCATTCAGATTACCATATCTGATTTTTGAATCTCGAAAACGAACTTCAACGATCCAATATATGTCGTTTCTGAGCGCCATGTCAATATACAGTCAAAAGGGAGTATCGTCGAAGAAATTTCAAAATTTGTATAAAGTGCACGCGCAGAACTTGGCTCTAAATGTAGTACCTGCGATACACTTAGGATGTAATACCCGTGAAGAATTTTTTTCAGCAACAGTTGCTTTTCGTAAGAGACGGTTGCTGCATGCCACCGTATCCCAGTAGCATAGATAGATGCTCATGATGTCAGTCCCTGGATTGTCTGTTCAAGACCCGATTATTTACAGACACCGCCATATATCTGGAATTGTGCTGAGACATAATCCTCCCCAAATGAATTAGAATCACAAAATATCGCGATTATTAATTAACGAAGATAGCTACATGTTTTCAAATACCTACAAGTTGAAAAAAAGCCATTCTGTCGATGAAGGATGTTATTTACAGTAACCGCAAATTTGCAAAGTGCGCTTTTCAAGAAATATCGGGCCCTGGGATTTTTTATGAAGACAAGGTGTTTTTCAGCAGCGTCTGAAAAAGCAGATATATCATATCATAAAAATAACAGCCTCTTGCAACATTATATGTTTTGTGGCACAATCCCTTTTTTTCAAAGTTAGAAGCATAAACATATTTTTTCAGCAATTTCTGGGACAAATTATTCTTTTTTCAAATGGTCGGTCCTTAATTGTACAGGAACGAAAATGAAGCATGAGACTATTTTCATTGTGAGGTCAATCACAATTATCTAGACACTATCAAAAGAAAAGGAGCTACTAGCTACAAATAAAATGTTCATGTTCTAATATTATTTTTTATTCCAAACATCAGCGTAAAAAATATAATATTGATAGTCCCTCTTCAAAATGGGACATTCTTGGTGCCGTTACGGCCACTGGACAAGGGCAGAATATGACGTCACAATACTCAACGTTATTTGATTCGTTATGACGTCATCAACCATGTCGTTTGTTTGTTTCTAGCGACCGTATTGTTGAAGGTGTCATTCGATAAGCAACTCCCAGGCTTTTAGTTTCATCACATCAACTGTCATGCAACGATTCCGCTTCAGCCCTGTCTTGGGTCAGCTAGGGGATTCTGAATCCGCGGTTAGCCGTGGTTTTGACCCACAAGCAGAGTGGGGGAGAAAACAAAGACAGTCTAAAGGTTATGAAGATGCAATCTCCAGAGCAACAGTTGAATTTAATGAATCGGAGTACGATCAGCTATCTGTGACAAGTCAATTGACACAAAGTTCATCCTTTCTAAAAGGTCTCCGTGAAACTTTTAGAAACAACAGCGGGAATTTTGAAACCTTGGGTAATGATGGACCCCAAACCTCTACACCAAAAGCAGGGCGCGCCTCCCCTAAACCATACTACGTAGACTCTCTGGGAGACAGTGGGTTTGTTGCAATGCAGAATCAAGGCAAGAAGTCTGAGAAACCTCCACCGGACGAAAAAGATGAGGTCATAGTGAATAGAATGGCGGCCTATCAAGGCGGTAATGAAAGAGGTTAGTACTTTTACATGTTATTTCAATTTAGTCCTCGTGTTTTAGATAAGATTCTACATTCATGGGTCAAGAGTTTGGTATCTAACCCCACAGCTTGGTACACGTATTTATTTCAGTGTAACATAAATATGTTTTACAACAGCAGTTTTTAAAAATCGCCTTGTGTCATTCATTATTATTATTATTAATCTCAATGCGACAGGCATTTTCAATCTGCCAATCGGTGTAGCAGTTTAGTCTGTATATCCAATAATATAAGTTTTACACATTATCTCCCTTCTGTAAATTGAAAAGACAAACCCACATACAAACCTGTCATCAATCTGTCATGGGTAATATTATTTAGCTTGGCCATAAAGTCCCTATCAGTTGCAATTTTCCAACAGTAAACATTTTAGATCTTAAATATAATACCATGAATGAATCCATGTTTACATATGTGATTTTTACACGTCTGGTATAGTTGAACGGATGTTGAGATAAACTGCCGGGAAAAACTAAGAAAGTAAACAACCATGTTTGATGGTTGCTAAAAATTGGCTATGCTATTTTCTTGGCCTCAGGTTTGTAGTATTTCGTAGAGTTTTCAGCCTAGTAACGTTTTGATAACGTTTATAACTTTTAGGTGATTTCCAGTTTTCAAGTATATTATTTCTGTTGCCCAACTCTATATTAGTATGTGAAAATCAGACTTCGCCTTGACAAGTGTCCAACTCCAATTCAGGGCTGTGTTGCTTATAAGAACAGATTTGGCCTCTGAAATGTCCGCCTCCAAGTCGGGCAATCCAACTCGTTCTCGGCAATGTGGCTATGAATCTATGTTGAAAGGTTTGTAATGTCCTTAAAGTTAGCGAATATAATATTGATGTTCAAATAGAACTACACTGTAAAAACTGTGTTTAGAATGTAAGCACATACACGACATGTTTACATCTATATTTGGTGTCTTCTATATCTAAACAAGTTTAGGGACTCACGGCCTAAACAGCACCGAAACACAACATCCCCATAATCTAAACATGTTTGGGTTGTTCATAAATGTATTGTTGTTGCATGACTAATCATACGGAAACAGGAGCTGACTTCTATATCCCCATCAACCTCGCTTAACAAACATATAGACAGCGCCCCTTTTAAAAATTACGTACAGAGAATTTTTGGGTGGGGGGAGGGACTATAGGCTGTGAGACGATAGCTCATTTCATGTGTTTAGACCCTACCAAATATGTATTCCGTTTAGAATTTAAACACATTCCCAAACAAGTTTAGATCAGGTAGTGCAGGTCTTACTTCTAGGGGTGTCATATATTAATACTTTACAAACTACCCAAGACATTGAAGGCAATGACAGGCAAACGAAAAAAAAACACACAAAGAAATTCATTAAAATTTCTTTATTGGTGAAGAAGCAATGTTTCTGTTGTTCTGCCGAGGGGTCCAGATAAGGCCCCTACAATAATATGCGTACACAAGTTCTTCTGCTGTTACGACCTTGTCACGACAGTAATGATATGGTGTCAACTTCTGTGATGTCCTCAAATATCAGGGTTCCGTTCCACAAAGCGATCTTAGCACTACGACTATCGTAAGCCTGTATTAAAGTATGGGAGCTTCGGTCATCTTAGCGTTAAGATCGCTTTGTGGAACGAGACCCAGGTCAATATTAATGTATATATGGAGACGAATATGTCTGAATTTTCCATCAATTACCGCAATTAACGTGTTTAAATGTCCATTTAATATTCATTGATAATTGAGCTGCTTAGCTATCTAGCTTACTTAACTTTGCAGATATCAGCTATAGAGGATCTGACAACAATAATAATGTATGTTCTTTTACAGGTCTGTCCCCAAACAGGCTATGAATGATAACGAACTCACCACAAAATAATTATCTTACTAATTATTTAATTCTCACTCTCCTGAGGTCAATTCACATTATCAGTATTTTCATATGCACAGTCCTCCGAGTCTAATCCAAGTAAATCTCAAGCCGTATATGCCACAACAAGACATTTAAAAACAAATTCATCTCTTGGAATTGGACACCAAGGATACTTTTAAGAGTACGCTACTATGTCTTCAAATTTTGCAAGTTTTTTTCTCACAGCAGAATACGGAAGAGATTAATACATCTGTCTTGATAATTCTTTGAAGACTGACCTCTAAAGATCCTGGGTAGATTATGTCTTCAGCAACCCATGCTTGCCGTAAAAGGCGGCTTTGCTTGTAAGAGTCGACTAACGGGATCGGTTGGTCAGGTTCGCTGTCTTGGTTGAAGCTGCATTACATCCCAATTTCGTGGATCGATGCTCATGATGTCAATCACTAGATTGTCTGGTCCAGACTAAATTATTTACAGACCGCCGTCATATAGCTGGAATATTGCTGAGTGCGGTGTTAAACAACAAACAAACAAATCTATCAAGATTGTTTATGATATCTTTAATCACGGGAACGTTGTGCAATTTCAACCAACCCTAACTTCACTATTGGATCATGTTGCGGCTGCAAACATCAACATGTTGATGATACTTGGTGCTTGATATTAACAGAGGATAAAAAGAAATTATTACTCTCAGTTGATTTGATTATATATTTGATTTCCAATTGAAAATAACTTAAGTTAGGGACATTATATCCAATAAAAGAACTGTACTGACTAGTAGTCAACACAAAATACTTCTACATGGATTTTCTGTACAAAAATATAATTTGATTTAAACTTTAAAAAAATAATAATTAAAAAATGTTTTCTCATAATATATAACTGCTGGTTGGTATCTTAGAATCTCATCTCTGAAAGTCACTAAATTTCCCTTTCCGGCACAAATGTACTTTTCATGGTAGGGGGCATGTAGTTGCAAATTCATTTATTTGCCCAGTCTTCATTGAACCAATTCATTTTTACACAAAAATACCCAGCCACAGATATTTTTTACAAACTGTTGCTGGAATGAGTGATGGTTAAATAGACATAATCAAATTTAACAACAGTTCTTTCACTTTTCAGTCACATAAAAAAACAAACTCGGCACTTTATTTCCCCCCTCAGTTTATGTTTTATGGGCTGCCTACACATCAACGGCCTGAAATGGCTCAGTAATCTTCAAGGCCCAGATTTCCCGTAAAATGTTACTCCATCAATTGATCCAAATATCTACCTTTTGCATTAGGAAGCGGAAACTTCCAATCTTGTGGCTTACACTCTCATTCCGGTAGGACAGGTGTGGCTCGAAAGTAGGTTAATAAAGCAGTTTCCTACGTTATTTATATTTGTTGATGTGATATTATATTTATGATGGCAATTTTCAAATACTGTTCACAAAGCGTCATGATAATATACAAGAAAATAGTGATGCAGGGCCGCTGATAGGCATCACCGTAATTATGTTAAACATATTGGTACATTTTGTACTTCACTGTATTATTCAATAGGTTAATAACACCCGGCCTTCATATAAGCGGAACAGTGAACAGATTGAAACCTCACGAGAAACAAAACACAATATTCAATAGGTGCCTAATTTTAGAATGCAGTCACTGACTAGTTCGTATTTTCCGATTTAGTATTCTCAAAGAAATATATAAATATATTTGGGCTTACTATGGGGGAATGGTTTGGAAAAGGGGTGTATCCAACGTATTCTTCAATTTATTTATACTTAAACGGCTCTTTGGAAGGCCGGTGCAAAATGAACTACCTTTATTGTAAATTTCTTCCAGAGAAGGGAAAAAATAATATATATTCCTGAATAGCGAAGTTTAGCAGGTGCTTAAAGGGCAAGTTCACACGGAAATGAACCAATTTTTCTTGTACTTTTTCCACATTAAAAGTGTTAACATAGAAGTGTCATAGACAAAAATATAAAAACATCATATTTAATTAACATATTTTTTGCATTAAAACGATTTATATTTTTCACATTTACCAAGTGTTCTATTTCCATAACAAAAACACCATGGCTTATGCCCCTTGCAATATGACGTCATTGGTGCCAATTGATAAACATTATGACGTCATCATGCTTTGTTAGAGCCGCTTCACGTGGTGTAGGTACAGTTTTGTGATTCTAGCGTCTCAGATGCCAGCCAGAATTGTGTTATGCTGAGTCACCACTGCGCCGGAGTGTGTCGTAGACCATGTTGTTTTACCGCAAACTGGTCCTTGATATCTTTTGCGTTGAGAATAGACAGGGACCCAGTTGAATTGGCACCAATTACGTCATAATCTAAGGGGGATAACTCAGGCCTATTTCGCTCGTAAAACGAAGGCCTCATAACGACATATCATTTTAACACTATTGTGAGCTTCCTACTTTCACTGTGAAAAAAAATGAGTGTATATTTTCAAACACAGATACTAACTAATTCTAAAATTGCGTTTTGTTTCGAAAAAGAAAGAAAGTGATTTATGCGTGTACACTTCCCCTTTAACGCATAACATTACGCTTCGGAAACTAACTCTACTTGTATTTGAACCAAAGTCCAACTTGTTGCCCTGGAAACGGAAAACGAAAGGCACCAATTCAGGACGCCTGGTTCGAATGCAAAATTCAAACAATACAAACAATATACATAGCAAAAGGCACACATTCATCAGTTCCCTAATGTGTTTAAAAACTTTCACAATATTATTTAACACTTTATGGGTTATGGTAATGAACCAAACCTTATTTTCCTTATGAGTCCAACTTGGTATCGCAATCTGTTAGCACTTAATTTGTGTGTATACAAATTTTGAAGCCAAACAAACGCCTGCTCAAGTGACGCAACCAGGAGACGTACAACAATGTTTCAGGAAATTTAACTTTATTCCTGTAATTGTCAATGTAGCGGAAGTAAGCTTCTTTCAAGAAGTGCTTGAAGTTCGGAAAAAACGACCCGGCTCTCATACTGTAGCAACATTTCTTCAAAATTCTGGCATTCAATGCCTGTTCAATACTTATATGTTTGTGTAACTCCTTGTATGCAAATCACTTCACGTTAATCCAACCTAT